GGGGCTGGGAGGAGAGCGGCGGGCGGGAGGCCCCCACGTGGCTGGGACGGCGCGGGCTCCTGGCGCCGGGCGGTGGGCGGTGGGCGTGCGCACTGCCGAGCGCGGGAGCGAGCCCACTCGGGGTCCTGGGGGACGGGCTGGCTCTCTGCGGTCTGCGGGCCCCGCACGAATGCTGTCCCTGCACCTGGCACCTGCGCGCTGAGTCTGGAGAATTAAAAACGCCCGGTAGTTTCCGATTCCAAAACGACCTTTTGAAACGGGCTTCTGGCTCCAAATTTGAAACTCCCCTCCCCTCTGACCCACAGCCGTGGGCTCGTCCAGGAGGGGCCGGCGGGAAATTTGGTTTGGCGCGCTCCCTGTTCCGGGCTCACCCTGCGCTCGCGTTACCTCTGCTCTCTCCTCCGCTCGCGCTGTCATGCCTTGCTCTGAAGACACGCTCGCGGTCTCCCCCAGCAAGCGGGCCCGGCCTGCGGAGGACGGCGCCATGCGGCTGCGCTTTGCCCGGCTGTCGGAGCACGCCACAGCCCCGACCCGGGGCTCCGCACGGGCGGCGGGCTACGACCTGTACAGGTGAGTGAGGTGGGAGGTCGGCCCGCACGGAGACCCGACTCCGAGTTACCCAGCTCGCGGGTTGCAGCAATACTGTATACCCGGCGTCTGCTCCCACGGGGCGAAGCCTCCCTGAAAACCTTCCAGAAACATGCAGACCCATAGGTGGTGTAGGATTTCTTGTTTTCTATGTTGGGAATTTTAGCTTTCGTCTTGACCGTAAATCCAGTAGAGATTTGAGTAAAAAATGCGGAATGGTAAGTGAATGTCTATAAAATACCCTTTAAGGCGTTATTTTCCAACATTTTTTTGTACGCTTTGCTAGTGGAAGATAGAAACAGATAAGGTTCATCTTGGCCTTCAAATAGTGGTCTGAGGGTGATGCTGGACTCAGTAGAAAGAAAAATCAAGGTGAGAGTCTGAGTGGAAGTATGAAAATACTTAAGGATTAAATGAAGGCCACTTCTGCCTTGAAGCTTCTCTACATTTTTGGCACAAGGACTGGGACTTTCACCAAGGGTAGGCATATGGAAAGGATGTCAGTAGTACAACCAGCCTTTTTTTTTTTTTTTAGAATTATTTATTTTAATTTTATTTATTCATTCATTTATTTTAATGTGACTAGAGGTAGGCACGCGGGGAGTGGGGGGTTGGTGGTGGTGAGCCACCAGGTCCAGGACTTGAACTGTGGTTAGCCATATGGGGAGTGTGTACTGAAATTTGTCTCATGTGCTGTTTAATCCTCCAACAGTCCTGAGGTAGGTGTTTTTTTTTTAACAGATAAAATGAGGAACTAGCCCTCCTTGGATGGCACTTTTTGATTTCTTTTATTCAAATTCTTTGTCATAACAATATATTGTAATTTTTTGGTTTTGTTTCTAGTTTTAACTATAATTTTTTTTTTTTAATTTGCTATAGGGCAAGTAGTTCATTCACCCAAGACAGTCAGTAGTGAGGGAAACGGAGAAGTGAGGAAGCACCACCTCGCCCCAGGGGGATGATTGTGCCAGTCAGTTCTCCTCCATTCTTTTCTCGGGGTTTTGGGTACACATGCACATGTGCCCAGTGTGTTTTTTAAGCTGCGGGGTCCATGACTTGAACTGTATAGTCAGGCATGTGGGAATCCAGCACCTTAACCACCACACCACCTCACTGGCCCAATAGAACATTTTTTTTTTTGTAGAAGTTTTTGCTGTAGGGTGCATGTGCTAGCCAGAAAGAGACAGAAAGCAAGAAATCCCCCCTCAGGGGGGATGGCCACGCCACAATCCCTTCTCCATTCTCTTCTCCGGATCCTGATCACGCATGCACACACATGCGTGAGTTTAAGCCACCGAATCCGGAACTCGGACCTGGGTCGACTACATGGGAGTCCAGTGACATATCCATTACACCAACTGCCAGACCCCCAATATAACATGTTTAAATGAAAATATTGCCTGACGATTTGCATTTTCTAATCTGAAGCTACTTGGGCCTCAGAACTTAACTGCTCTCAGTTCCACAGGTTTTGGATGCCAGTACTAATTCCCTTTTGAGACAAGTGTTTTACATATTCTCCAGCTGAAAATGCTTGAGGCAACTTCAAGGGCTTGATTTTTTTTTTTTTTTCTAATCTGAGCATCTTCTCCGGTATGGATTTTTTTGTACTTTTTACTCTGGTAACAGTATTCAGTTTTTGAAAGTGCTGTGGATCCCTACCATATTTTTCTTTTAATAATTATTTATTTAATTTTGTTTATTATTATCACTTAATTTGCTATAAAGCATGTGCACTCACCAGAGAGAGACAGAAAGCAAGAGAAAGGGTAAGTGAGAAAGCAAGCCACCAGGTCCAGGATGTAAACTGCGGCTGACCATGTAGGAGTACAGCTCCTTAACCATCACACCAGCTGCTGGCCCCTGCCATATTTTTTGTAATCTGCAGATGAAGGCAGAAACAGTTTATCTGGAATTCTTGACCTGGTAAATTTAGGATGGATCCAGTCTGCGCAAATGAGAGACTCCACACCTTTTCAGTCCGTGGTCCGCCTGGGGGGGCCTCTGAACTACTGAGCGTAAAACCCCTGCCATAACAAGTGTAGCAATTGTCCTCTTTAAAAGCAGTGCTCCCGAGGGGCCAGCAGGTGACCAAGTCCTTAAAGTGTTGAATTCCCACATAGCCAACCACAGTTCAATACCCAGATCCAGCAGCTTGAAACTCAGGCCAGGCATGTGTGCGTGCCTTCCCAAAATCTTGAGAGGAGAATGGAGAAGGGATTGCGGAGTAGCCATCCCCCCTGGGGGGTGGTTTCTCACTTTCTTTGTCTCTCTGGAAAGCAAGCATGCCCTATAACAAAAAAATCTCTCTTTAAAAAAAAGAAAAAGTAGCACCTACTAAATATTCAGCTTGGACTTTTCTACCCAAGAGAAGCTATGCAGAGCTATTAAAAACATCCTAGGTAATTCATTTGTGAGAACTACTGGTTTAAATCCTAAGTACAGGATAAGGGAGTGAGTGATGATAGTAAAAGGGAAAAGAAAGAAAAATGCGAGGTATAGACGATAGTAGCTGAAAGGCATATAATACAGTCTCCATTTAGACAGATAAAAGTATAGTAATGTAGTTTGACTATAGACTCTTTCAAAATATGTGTCAGGGCATTTCTGTGAGTCCTAGAGCAGACTTCAATTTTATGAAATTTTAAGAATTCTATATGCTTGGCCAGGGAAAGAAAATATAAAAACAATTGTGTAAGTAAATGCCACTTATGTTTTTCAATATCTTCTTAGTGCGTACGATTATACAGTGCCACCTATGGAGAAAACCCTTGTGAAGACTGACATTCAGATAGCTCTTCCTTCTGGGTGTTATGGAAGAGTAGGTAAGTGGTTTAAGAAACAGGTAACTATTTGTCAGGCTCTTCCTTTGTGATGTGTTTCTTCATCTTGGACAACAGGTGAAGGGACATTGCTTGAGTGGTATGCTAAAGTTAAGTACCATGTGTGGGGCCAGCAAGGTGGCATGATGGTCATTAAGGCACTGGACTTCTACATGGACGACCACAGTTTGAGTCCCAGACCTGGTGGCTTGCTTTCTCACTTTTCCTTTATCTCTCTCTATAGTGAGCATGCATGCCCTGTAGCAAATTTAAAAATAATGATGATGGGGACCAGCAGTTGGCATAATGGCTATGTCGCTGGACTCCCATGTAGTAGACCACGGTTTGAATCTCAGACCCTACTGCTTAAACTCACACTGGTGCCCAAGATCCCGAGAGGAAAATGGAAGAGAAGGGATTGCAGAGTGGCCATCCCCACAGGGGGGTGATTTCTCACTTTCTGTCTCTGTCTTTCTGGTGAGTGCACGTGCTCTATAGCAAAAACCTCTCTAAAAAAATGATGATGATGAATGAAGGTAAATAAATTTTTTTTAAAAAAGGTGCCGTGTGCAATGACAAGTAAAGCCATCCAAAAACCTTCATTTACATGCCTGCTTTTGTCTTTTTTTGCCCTTCTATTTCTTTTTTTTTTAATTTTTTAAGGATTTATTTATTTTCATTTATTATTATTATTATTATTTTAATTTGACCAGAGAGAGAAAGACAGGGAAAGTGAGACTGCAAGCTCCCAGGTCCAGTACTCAAACTGTGGTCCGCCGTGTGGGAGTCCAACACCTTAACCATCATGCCACCTGCAGGCCCTTGCCCTTCTATTTTTTATACTTACTGGTTTCACATTGGTCTAGAGATTTTCACAACTATTCACTGTGCAGAAAACTAAAAATGTTGATTTTTTTTTTAAAGATTTAAAGATTTCTGTTACAGGGCATGTGCGCTTGCCAGAGAGACACAGAAAGAGACAGACAGAAAGCAAATCATCCCCCAGGAGGGATGGCCATGCCGCAGTCCCTTTTCTTCCATTCTCTTCTCTGGATTTTGGGCACACATACCAGGCATGAGTTTTAAACTGCCAGGTCTAGGACTTGAACCATGGTCAGCTACATGAGAGTCCAGCAATGTAACTATTACACTATCTGCTGGTCCCCTGAAAATGTAGATGATTTTTAACTAGAACTTTTTCTAGTGCTACTGCCAACTCCTCTTCAAGGATTAGATTGCATGTCAGTCAAACTTCTTTGTGAAGACAGTGATGAGGGTGGCAAATATTCATGGTATTAGAAAAGAGGATAGGGCCAGTAGGTGGCATGGTGGTTTAGGTGCTGGACTTCTGCATGGCCAACTATGGTTCGAGTCCCAAACCTGGTGGCTGGAAAATCATGCTGGGCATGTATGCATGCATGTCCAAAATCCTAGGAGAATGGTAGAGGAGGAATTGTGGGATTGTCATCCCCCCCTTTGGAAGTGATTTGTCACTTTCCATTTCGCCTTTTGGTGAGTGCACGTACCCTGTGGCAAATACCTTAAAAGAAAAAGAGAGAGAAAATAGTTTAAATGATGTTACATGGTGTTTTATACTATGAGATTAAAACTTCTGGGACCTGCAGGTGGCGTGGTGATTAAGGGTGCTGAACTCCCACATGGCTGACTGTGGTTCAAGTCCCTGACCTGGCGGCTTGCTTTTTCTCTCTCTTGCTCTGTTCCTCTCTGTTCAAATTTAAATAAATACATAAAAGTTAAAGAAAATAATCCTTTAGGGGAAAAAAAATAAGCAACTTATAGCCCCTATTGGTCCCAGGAAGTATCAGCTGACTTAACCTTTTCTTGTTTTGGCATCCTTCCATGGGATTAGGGTTAGGGCGAAGATACTCTAGAGTTGTCCAGAAGGAAAGGCTGTGATAAAATGGAGTGCGAATGAACATGTTTGGTTTTTTTTTTTTTTTTGGAGCAGGTCCATTGTCACCAAAGAATTCAAAATTTATTTAGAAGAACATAAATACGTCTGGTTACTTCAGAGTAAACATAAAGGAGCAAATGGCACTGTGACCCGCCGTCTCCATGGAAGGGAAGTAGACTGTCACTGTCTTGTGAGCTGTGTTTAGGAGAACTGTTCAGGACTTAGCCCTTTAAAGAAGAACAGAATGGGCTTCCTCGTCTCTGTTGGCATCAGTGACTCCATTTTTTTTTAAGACTTTTTTGTTGGGTAGGAGGTTAAGGATGAAGTAAAATCCATGTCAAGGCAAGAAGAGGCAGCTTTTATTGACCAAGTGCCTGATTTAAGTTATTCTGTAATAAAGTACTAGAAGTTAAGCTAATTAATGATAGGCCCGATTCTAAGGTCTAAACTTAGCAATTTTTTCATTAAGGATAAAAAGCATACTAGAATTGACTCTTTGAGGCTTAATTTTTAACTTTTTACTTGAATGATTATCTTTGATTTATGGGTTTCATTAGGCATCTGAATCCCAAGTACGAGTCCCAAGTTCTAGGCTGAGTTCCGCTACTGTGGTTTGGTTTATTCTCTGTCTCTCTCTTTCTTTTTCTCTCTCTCTGCCCTCTTGTCATCTACATGGTATATGTTCCGTCTCCAATCTTAAAACAGAAGTCCTTTTTCTCCCTCCTGTGTTGTGCCAGCTTCGATCCTCCCTTCTCTTGTGGCTAAAGTTGAAAGAGCGGCCTGCACTGGTCCTTCTTGGTCAGCTTTCTGTTCATTCCACAGTTCTCCCCCATCTACGCCACCACAGATCTTTCATTGAAGTCATGTGAGAGTGGTTTAAGTTGGCTTTGAATTAAAACACTGTTAAATATTCTAGTCTTTCCAACTTCAGCAATGCATTTTAAAATTCAGTATCATTTGTTAGAGTCAAGATGGAGATAATAGGTATTACAGAGATGAGAGTGAATGCTTAAGTAGCATGGATTATATCCATAACTACCCCTTCCCTTATGCAGTCATTGTCTCCTTTTTTCTTTTTCAGCTCCACGTTCTGGCTTGGCTGCAAAACACTTCATAGATGTAGGAGGTAACATATTTACTTTTTTATTTGGTAAATGTTACTAAGCATTTACTTGGTTTTTATTTAAAGGAGAGTGTTTAGGTAACAAATTTTATTTTCAAGATAAGGAAATAATTTTTGTTGTGTCTAGCCTCTTTAGAAATTTATATCCTGAAATAATAGACAATTATGGTATGGTTTCAAATACTATATATTCATGTCTAATTTTTAAATGACCATTTTGTAAAATGAATGTTATTTTTCTAATAAGTTAACTCAGCATTATCCGATAGGTACAGTTTTTGCCTCTGATATGTACAGTTTTGGCCTTGGTTTAGTGATGATCTATATTTAGTCCAAAAATGACTTCTTAGAGAAAATCTTATTATGCTGGGTGGGATGGTAATATATAATTCTTTCCGTAGAAAGTTCTAGAAAAAAATTTCTTACCTTTATGAGAGAGCCATTTATGTCTGGCAAAAATAAACAAGAGACTCTTTCTCTGAAGTGAAGAGTAAAAATGCTATGCTTTGCTAACTTTTTTGCCAAGAAAGGCAACAGTGACACTTACTTCCCTTGTGATAGAGTCTTACTCGTGTCTCCTAAAGTTAACTTCCTCTTCTGGCTCCTTTTGTGAAGAAGCCACACGGTCCTCTGATAGCCACCATTACTGTATTTCCAATCTCCTCTGGCCTTTTTTTTTAAAAAAAGTTTGTTTATTTTATGAGAGAGAGACAGATAAGCATCCTCAACAGTCTCGTGCTTCAATCCTCCCTCCAGCCTTCCCAGCCAGCTAGGACTCATGGGCAGGCATACTGACCTGGCATGTACATGTTGATCTAGGAACCAAATACCAGTCTTCCATATAGCTGGCAGCATGGCAGGACATTGCACTGTCCATGTGCCACCAGGGCTGGGCCTTTTACAGAGCTTTTTAACAGATGTGAAAACTGGCTCAGGTGTGGGAACCAGCAGTTAGTGTAATGGCTATGTCGCTGGACTCCCACGTAGTCGACCGCGGTTCGCTTCCTGGACCCAGTGGCTTAAAACCCAGGCTGGGTGCGTGTGCGTGTGTGCCCAAGATCCTGAGAGGAGAATGGAGGAGAAGGGATTGCGGCGTGGCCATCCCCTCTGGGGGGTGATTTCTCGCTTTCTGTCTCTGTCTGGTGAGCGCACGCGCCCTATAGTTAAAAACCTCTTAAAAAAAAAAAAAAAGCTGGCTCAGGTGTGATCCCAAGTTGATCATATTGAAAACAGGAGTTTCTATCCATGTGATTCCAACCCCCTTCTTTTCTACTGCAGTTAAATGCTAGAGATTACCCTGCTCTGTTCCCTTCCCTAACCAAGCACTGCCCTGAATTAGCTCAGTACCTGTCAGGGAGGATTAAGTACATGGTGAGGCCTGGCTAACCCAGTCCTGCCCCTAACCTAACTTTTGGAAGGGCCTTGTCTCTTCCTCTGGTGTCACTAGGTGGTGCTATGGGACAAGATGGGAGCCCCAAAGTAGTTCTTTATTTGGAAGTAAAGAAAGATTTTTATAGCAGGGATAGACGTTGACAGCCCACTCTTGTTTTTTTTGGAGAGATTTTTTGCTATAGGGCGCATGTCCTCGCCAGACAGACAGAGAGAGACAGAGAGACAGAAAGCGAAAAATCACCCCCCAGAGGGGATGGTCACGCTGCAATCCCTTCTCCTCCATTCTTCTCTTGGGATCTTGGGCATGCACGCACACGTGCCCGGCGTGAGTTTTAAGCCACCAGGTCCAGGACGTGAACCACGGTCGACTACGTGGGAGTCCAGCGACATAGCCATCACGCTAACTGCTGGTTCCCGACAGCCCACTCTTGATCGAGGGTTCACTGGGGTTGGTTTAGTTATGCTTTGTTTTCTAACATACTTTTCCAAGGTCAAAGATGATCATTTGGGAGAATAACTTGCAGGTATAAAAGATTATATGTATTTTTAAGGAATTTCAAAGGGGTATATAGGGAATGGGGACTTTGGAGTATCAGCTGGCTCTGTCACTAGCCTGCTCTCTGTAACTGACCGTTCCGGAGCCTTGATTTCCTCATCTGTACAGTGGGAATTATTGTGTTTGCCTTAGGGTTGGGAGGATTAAATGATAAGATGTGTAAAGCATCTAACAGTTCTAGGCATACATTATATTCTGTAAATTATAATTTTGTCCCCTAAAGGCTTTACAGATTTTCTTTATGTGGAAACTTTTCAACTCTGTTACTAATTTTTACTCTTTTTAAAACAACCCACTGGAAAAGAATTCATGTAAAAGAAATGGAAAGTTAGTTTGCCTGGTGATTGGGATGGTGTTATTCATAAAATCACATTGTTGTGTGTTCTTGGATGTAGAATATCTTAAAAATGTCTCCTAGGCACAAGTTTATCATAGTTGGCAATAGTTTTTATTTCTGGAGAGAGATGTTGTTAGAAATCTCAGGCTGTAAATAAGGGTCAAAGGGAAAAGTTGAGTATGCAGGATTCCGTTCAGAATTCACATCTGGTAGGTGTGGATAGTTTTCACCAAAGGTTTCCAACATAAGAGATGCCAAAGTCTTGACACAGTAAAACTTTTGCCTGAAGTCAGTTAATCACTCTGCCAGTTCCAATGCATGATTTTTCCAATGATAACTTCAGAGTATTTTCTGTTTTCTTATGAAGAGAAATATTCTCGATGCTTATATCCCTTACATGAAGAAAGACTTGTCCTGGATTTTTCTTGAGGTTAAAGTGGCAGTTGGTTAGTAAATGAACTTGGACTGGAGCAATTAATTAATTAATTAATTAATTTGATGGAACTTGTGCTAAAAAAAGGATTAATTGACGGCCTTTTTTTCTATCACGCATATTTATTGACTTCAGACGACTTTATTTCTTTTAGTCAAAGGCTTTTTACATTTTTATGCCTCAAGCATAAAATCCCGGTGGATTACCTTGCTCTGCAGAATTCAAGACAACTAACTGTTCGAGTACCCCTGATAGGACCACTTACAGCTACAAAACAGAAGGCCTTTACAAAAAAATGTTTTTGTGTGGTAGGGAATACCATAAATTAAAAAACAAACAAAAAACATGTGCAACTAACATGAAAAATAACAGATAAGAAAATATAAATAAAATATAGAAGAGAATGTGCAAATGAAAGTCTAATAAACATCCAGGAGGAAAAAGTTTTTTCTCACTAGCTATCAGAGGAATGAAAAGTAAAGCTGTGAGATGCCATATTTTACTCATGTTGGCCAGATTTTAAGAATGCTACTATCTAGGGAACCAGCAGTTAACGTAATGGCTATGTTGCTGGACTCCCACGTAGTCGACCGCGGTTCACATCCTGGACCCGGTGGCTTAAAACTCACGCTGGGCGCGTGTGCGTGCGTGCCCAAGATCCCGAGAGGAGAATGGAGGAGAAGGGATTGCAGCGTGACCATCCCCCCTGGGGGGGATTTCTCGCTTTCTGTCTCTATGTTTTTCTCAGTCTGTCTGGCGAGCACACGCGCCCTATAGCAAAAATCTCTCAAAAAAAAAAAGAATGCTACTATCTGGTACTGGCCAGGATTTTATAAACGAGTGTTCTCAAATATTTCCGATGGGGCTATACCTTTTTTTTTTTTTTGGAAAGTTCATCTAGCAATACCCTTTAAGATTGAAGATACACATCCTTTGACCTAGGAAGGTGCTTTTTATAAACTATTTGGTGAGAATAAAATACTAATTAGTATAAGTATATATATATATATATATAAAAGGCTGCTTTGTCTATTATAGCAAAAATGTAAAAGTAACTTGAATGTCTGATATGTAAGAAAACAGTTACATAGAAATAATGGTATTTTATTTCCATATATTATATCTAAAAAGAGCAACCTATTTTCTATAGTATGTTAATCCCAAAGGATGCCTATGATATTTTAAATGGAAAGAAAAAATGTATAACATTGACTTTCTCAGAAAGTGTAGGGGAATATTTGCTTTTACTTTTTATGTACAGGTTGAGTACCACTTATCCAAAATGCTTAGGAACAGAAATATTTATGATTTTTTTTTTTTTTTTCAGATTTTTTTTGACTGTCTGCACATATATAGCAAGTTCATCTTTGGTCTATGGGACCCAAACCTAAGCACAAAATTTGTGTTTTATAGGTACCTTACACACATAGCCTAAAGATAATTTTGTACAATATGTTTGATTGCAGTGTTTTGGACTGGACCTGTCGCTTGAGGTTAGGTGTGGAATTTTCTACTGTGGCATCATGTTGACACTAAAAAATTTGAGATGTGAGGGCATTTTAGATTTCGGACTTTCAGATTAGGGATGATCACCTGTATTTGTTTTGTTTGAGTAATTTAAAAATTATCTAATAAAGTAGAAGCAAGAGACTTTTTTTTTTTTTGGAGAGATTTTCACTATAGGGCGCATGCGCTCGCCAGACAGACAGAGAGACATAGAGACAGAAAGCGAGAAATCACCCCCCAGGGGGGATGGTCACGCCACAATCCCTTCTCCTCTCAGGATCTTGGGCATGCAAGCACACATACCCGGTGTGAGTTTTAAGCCACCGGGTCCGGGTCATGAACCGCGGTTGACTATGTGAGAGTCCAGTGACATAGCCATTATGCCAACTGCTGGTTCCCTAAGCAAGAGACTTTAAAAGTCAATCCATATCATCCTTCTCTAACTCATTCACAGTAGATGAATTATTAGTCTGTACTTCCAAATCTCCAAGCATTAAAATTCCATAGCCTTCTGTAATCATTTGTGGCCAGTCTAGAACAACATGCTATGCTAAGTATGCTAAGGGTTTTCTTCATCATTAACTTTTTTTTTGGAGAGGTTTTTGCTATAGGGCATGTGCGCTTGCCAGAGAGACAGAGAGATAGAAAGCGAGAAATCATCCCCCAGGGGGGATGGCCATACCACAGTCTCTTCTCCTCCAGTCTTCTCTCGGGTTCTTGGGCATGCATGCACACGCGCCCAGCGTGAGTTGGAGCCACCGGGTCCGGGACTCAAACCACGGTCGGCTGCATGGGAGTTCAGCAACATAGCCATTACGCTAACTGCTGGTCCCTTCATTAACTCTGGTCATACTTCTTTCTATAACCAGAATTTTATTCATTTAGAAAATATGGGAAATACAGCTGGTCCATCTAGTTTTTTTTTTTTTTTCATAAATACAAGGAATGACATTAATGCTCAACTGGCAGTGGGGATAAGAACCAGGGTTGACTATTTTTTGAATTGGTCAAAGCTCTGTTGCTGTACAACTAGAAAAGAATAGACTGTTTCAGGGCCAGCAGGTAGTATAATGGTTATCGTGCTGGGCTCCCACATGGCTAACTACAGTTCAGGTCCTTGACCTGGTGACTTGAAAAGTATGCAGGTGCGTGTGTGTGCATGGCCATCCTCTCTGGGGGTTGGTTCTCACTTTCCCTCTTACTATCTGGTGCTCTCCAGTAAGTGCACATACACTATAGCAAAAATCTTTAAAAAAGAAAAAAAAATAGAGGGAGATAGATTCTGTTTCTTTCAGTCTAGGCATGAGATGAACCAACTCATGTTTTAATCTTTAATTCAAACTCATAAAAATGTATTATCAGGAACCCTTTTTTGGGGAGGGAAAGGGAGTGGTTTTTTTCTATAGGGCGCATGTGTATACCAGAAAGACAGAGGAAGACAGAAAGCAAGAAATCACCCCCCAGGGGGGCCATAGTCCCTTCTCCTCTCTGGATCTTGGGCACACATGCACAAGTGCCCGGCGTGAGTTTAAGCCACTGGACGTCCAGGACTCGAACTACGATCTACTCATTACATGAGAGCCCAGTGACGTAGCTATTACACATCTGCTGGTCCCTCAGGAACCTTTTAAGAAGTGCTTAATTTCAGTTTTACTTGTCGCTTGTAAAGCACAGGGTTCCATGATAACCTACTGGGAACATCTGAAATGTTTTTTTTTTAAGTAGTTTTCCTCAAGGTAGAACTGAAAATTGTTGTTTTGTTTTGTTTTTCTATATGAGAATATTGAAAGTGTATGTTTAGGAATTACCCTCATTCTAAAACAAATGTGTTTTCCAGTGAACTTTGAAATAATGAAGTATAGCTAACCAGCATTAGTTCCCACTGAACTAAATTTATGATTATTTTTAATTCTCCCCCCTCCCCCTTTATAAGAGCTTTTTTCAGGAGGTAGTAAGTTAATAAGGAGAAGTAAGATGTAACATGGAGCTATATTCAATTAAGTTTACATGAATCCTGTCCAGCCTTTCACAGAGGGGAAAGAATTAATTTCTATAATAATACTCGGGGAGGATAGGGAGTGACTGTTAGTAGGCAGAGGTTTCTTTTGGGGGTAATGAAAATGTTCTGAAGTTGATTACGGTAATGATAGTCCAACTGTGAACACACTATAAATCATTGAGCTGTGTATTTTAAATGTGTGAATTGTATGATCTGTGAATTACATCTCAACATAGAGAAGGAAATGAGAAGGCCTGGCACACCCATGTTATCTGGGCTTATGTTTATGAAAACATTTTAAACTCTTGGCCCAAAGATAAATGCTAGCAGGTCTGGTAAACATAGCTTTCTGGGGCGATGGAAGAGATCTGTTCAGATCTTCCACAAAGATCTGTTTCCCCTATGTTTATAGTCTTAAACAGGTACTATTACATGTGTGTAAGTGTACTCATTGTGCTAATGTCTTCTGAGAGATCAGACTAAGCCTAAAATGGCAGGATGGTTCAAATTAAAATTAGAGAAAGAATATAAGCAATAGGCAGAAAAACCAAGCTCTTATTTTATTACAAAAATGAAGTGTTCTGGTATTTGCAGGACTGCTTCTTAACCATGTCAGCATTGACTTATTCCACTGTAGATCTTCAGGCTTTTTGATGTTTTTATTTATGGCTCAATCATATTTCAATCTGGATATTAATGAAAAGCGGCTACCAGGAAACGCCTTTGAAACCGCAGTCATAATTTTCCCCGAGCCTTTTGACATGTGCACAGTGGGCAGACAGTAGGGCAGAGACCATAATCACTGCTGCCAGTTTAGAGCAGGAAATGGTCACCATTTGATAAAGGGAGATAGGTTGGAAAATTATGACTTATTTTCTAAATTTTTATTTTCATTTTAGCAATATCATTTCTCAGTTTTGAGACTTTCCATAATACCAGAACAGTATTCATTTACTCAATTGTAAAATCGTAGAGGGACATAAGAATGACGTTAAAATAATCTCGCACCCTAGTGTTCTGATAGCATAAATCAAGATAATATTATTTCTCTTTCCTCCAGCTGGTGTCATAGATGAAGATTATAGAGGAAATGTTGGTGTTGTACTGTTTAATTTCGGCAAAGAAAAGTTTGAAGGTATGTGAAATACATACATTCACATAAATGTAGTGAATTTTCTGAGTTATTTATGTGCAGATAACATTGACTCCTGTAATTGTCATTGAATAAGGCAAGATATAGAGACTGTCAATAAACTGTTTTGTTTGTTTCATTTTGAAGTTAAAAAAGGTGACCGGATTGCACAGCTCATTTGTGAACGAATTTTTTACCCGGAAATAGAAGAAGTTCAAGTAAGTATCATAAAAGCTGAGTAGTGGGCAACCAGCAGTTAGTGTAATGGCTATGTCGCTGGACTCCCACATAGTCGACCGTGGTTCACCTCTGGGACCCGCTGGCTTAAAACTCATCGCCGAGCGCGTGTGCATGTGTGCCCAAGATCCTGAGAGGAAAATGGAGGAGAAGGGATTGCAGCGTGACCATCCCCCCGGGGGGTGATTTCTCGCTTTCTGTCTCTCTGTCTCTGTCTGGCGAGTGCACGCGCCCTATAGCAAAAACCTCTCCCCCTGAAAAAAATAACAATAAAAAAAGCTGAGTAGGCAATGATACAACATTTTAGGTGAATAAAAAAATTTAATTTTGAAGATTTCATATGCTATGTAACTAAATAGTAGCATATGTGACTAGTCCTACTGTAGGCAAAACCAACATCAATTAGTTTTAGAATTTATTGAAATGTTTTTTAAATAGATGTTACATGTTATTACTTCGGGTAGTAAATTAAGTATACTGTGAAATTCTAATTATTTCTTTAGGTTTTTTTGAAAATTATCTAATATTCTAATTTATGGGACTTTTGAAAGTTTTTCTTCTTTTTGTAATCACCCTTTTGAAATGATGATATACCAAGAATAAAATTCTTAATATCAAGAGCTAGAGAGAAGAACTGAAAGGCACTGAATTAACTAGGTGACTTACTGCGTTTTTGTCTTTCAGGGTTTGGATGACACTGAACGGGGTTCAGGAGGTTTTGGTTCCACTGGAAAAAATTAAAATTTATGCCATGAACAGAAGATGAGAGAAAAAAATTTTTTTTTCTTAAAAGATTTTGCTAGTGTTTTGTATTTCTAGAAACTTAATAGCTTTAACTTTGAAAAACATTTTGTTTTCTTATGAGTAAGGACAAGGGTACCTCTGGGATCACATAAAAACTTTGCCGTGTTTTTCTACTGTGGACAGCTGTGGACAGTCATATGTAAATCTGCTTTGTGGTGAACTAATGCAGAGTGACATTTTGTTTTGTTTGTTTTAATTAAAAAGTTGTATTTAACTCAGTAAATGGTATCCCTTTAAGCAATGTCTTTTATTTAAAAATAAATAAATAAACTGTGCTTCTTATTCAATAAACTTACATTCTTTTGCAAACAAGAATTATTGTACAAGCCGAACGAAAAATAATAAGTAAAAAGAAGTTAAAGTTATTCCTCGTTCTTTCCTTCTCATTGGTCTAAATTGGGGGACAGGGACATAGGGTGTGTACATTTGTCAAGGAGAGCCATAGAGAGACAAAGAGGGAAAGTGAGAAATCACCCAACAGGTGTTAGATAGCCACACTGTCATCCCTTTTCCTCCATTCTCCTCTTGGGGTTTTGAGCATGCACATGGATGTGCCTTGAGTGTCTTTTAAGTCACTGGGTCCAGAACTCCAACCGTGGTGTTGACCATGTGGGATCTAGTTCCTCAACCACCACACCACCTGCTGCCCACCTCCTTATTAAATCTTTGGATTCTTTATGAAAGTAAAGATAATCCTCAGAATTTTTAAACCAATATTTATTTTAAATTTTCCTTTGATCTCGTTTTAGTTTTCATTATCCTGATAATGTGGAGCATCTTCTAGTGTACCTACTTGTCATTGGTATATCTTTGATGAAGTGTGTATTAGTGTCTTTGGCCCATTTTTCTAATTGTCTTGTTTTCTTGTTGCTGAATTTTAAGAGATCTTTATGTATTTTGGATAAAAGATCTTTACTAGATAGGTTTTTTATAAGTAGTTGTTCCCAGTTTGTGACTTTTCACTGTCTTGACAGTGTCTTTCACTGCAGGTTTTATTTTTTATTTTAATGACGTTCAGCTTAGCAATTTTTCCTTTAATTGATTATGCCTTTGCTGTCATAGTTAAGTCATCACCAAATACAAGGTTGTCTAGACTTTTTTCCTATGTTGTCTTTTTAGAGTTTTATAAATTTAATGTTTTACATTTAAGTCTGAACCATTTGAATTAATTTTTGTAAAGAGTATAAGTTCTGTCTGGATTTATTTTTTGCATGTGGCTGTCCAGTTGTACCATTTGTTGAACAGACTATCTCTGCTCCATTGTATTGTTTTTGCTTCTTTTTTGAAGATTATTAGACTATATCGTTGTTCTTCTGAGTCTTTCACCTCTACTTATAAAATGTAAAGCTACTTTGTTGATAACTACAAAAGTAATGTGCTGGGATTTTGATTAGGATTGTATTGATTCTATAGATCAAATTGGAAAAAACTGACATCTTTACAATATTGAGTCTTTCCATCTATGAACATAGACTAACTCTTTTGTAATTTCTTTTAGATACAATTTACATACCATGAAATTCACCCTTTTATAGTATACAAGTCATTCCTTTTTAAAAAATAATTACTTTTTTAACTTCTTTTTTTATTCATTTATTTCACTTTAATTTGACCAGAGAGGAAAGAGTAAGAGAGGGAAAGTGAGAGAGCAAGCCGCCAGGTCTGGGGTTTGAACTGTGGTCGGCCATGTGAGAGCCCAGCATCCTTAACCACCACGCCACCTGCGGGCCCTACAAGTCATTACTTTTTTACTATATTCACAGTTGTGCAATCATCATTCTAGAACATGTTTTATCACCCCAGTAAGAAACCTCTACTGGTAGTCCTCCATTCCCTCTATTTTACCTATTCTGGACATTTAATATACATCGTGTGGTCTTGTGTCTGGCTTATTTCACTCAGCATGTTTTCAGGGTTCATCTATGTTTTACCATGTATCACTACTTTCTCCCCTTTTGCTGAATAATATTCCATGGTATGTATAATGCCACAGTCAATTTTTCAAATTTTAAGCATTAGCTGGTTTCCACTTTGGCTATTGTGAACGATGCTGCTATGAATATTCATGAACAGGCTTGTGAGTGGACTAAGTTATTTCTCTTGGGGGTTGAATCATTAGGTCATATGGTATCTGTATAACTTTTTGAGGGACTGCTGAGCTTCCTTTCCAAAGCAGATACACCGTTTTACATTCCCATTGGCAATTTATAAGGATTCTGATTCTCCCACATCCTCACCTATGCTTGTTATAAACTTTTATAGACTTATTTCTAAGTTTGTTTCTTTCATGAGAGTGTGTGCACATACATGACAGCATCTGTGTGTGCATGAGAGACAGAAATAAGCATCCTTGACTTTCTTATAAATAATTCATCACCGAATCTCTTTCCCCAGACCTACAGCTAGTTGGGATCTTCACGTTTGCACATTCCTGGTGTGTTTCAGGTCAGTGAAAAAGTTGTGGGAGACTAGAGGGCTGAGATGAATAAGCACCTGGAGTGTTAAGTGAATAGGGGAATCAGCAGTTAGCATAATGGCTATGTCACTGAACTTCCATGTAGCCGACCACAGTTCGAGTCCCAGACCTGGCAGCTTAAGCTTATGCCAGGCACGTATGTGTGTGTGTGTGTGTGTGTCTAAGATCCCAAGAGAATGGAGGAGAAGGGATTGCAGCGTGGCCATCCCCCCTGGGGAGTTACTTGCTTTCTCTCTGGCTTTCTGGCGAGCACACACGCCCTATAGCAAAAAAAAAGACACCTCTCCAAAAATAAGTGAATAGGTCGGAGTTTGGGGTTCATGGGCCTTTGACACAATCACATGAGTGTTGAGAAGTTAGAGCATTCTTTGCAGGGTTCCCTCCCTACTTTGCTTGCCTATCTCCCTACTCATTTATTTATTTTTCCTTTCCTATTTTTAGTTTAGAGGTTTTACCTTAGGGTGCATGTGCTTGCTAAAGAGACAGAGGGGGGAAGAGAAATCACCTCGCAAGGGGGATGACCATGCTGCACTCCCTTCTCTTGGAATCTTGGGCACAGGCACACACACCTAGCATAGTCTTCAACTCATGGATCTGGGACTTGACATGCAGTTAGCCCTGTGGCAGTCCAGTGACATAACCACTATGCCATCTGCTGGCATCTCTACTCATCTATTTTTTTTTAAGAGGTTTTTGCTATAGGGTGCGTGCACTCACCAGAAAGACAGAAAGTGAGAAATCACACCCCAGGGGGATGGCCATACTGCAATCCCTTCTCCATTCTCCTCTTGGGATCTTGGGCACGCACGCACACGCACCCGGGTGAGTTTAAGTCACTGGGTCTGAGACTCCAGCCGTGGTCAACTACATGGGAGTCCAGTGACAGCCATTATGCTAATTGCTGGTTCCCTCATCTATTTCTTGTTTGCCATTCTGCATCTTCAGCTGCAGCAGTGCTCCCTGGTAGGAGAATTACATTTTTTTTGGGGGGGGGGGATTTTCCACTGTAGGTTATGTGCGCTTGCCAGACAGAGAACGACATAGAGACAGTGAGAAATCATCCCCCAGGGGGGATGGTCACACCACAATCCCTTCTCCATTCTCCTCTCGGAATCTTGGGCACGCACGCACAGGCGCCTAGCGTGAGTTTTAAGCCACCAGGTCCGGGACGCGAACTGCGGTCGACTATGTGGGAGTCCAGGGACATAGCCATTAGGCTAACTGCTGGTTCCCGAGAATTACATTTTATACTGTCTGTGCCACTAACTTCCTTTCCCTGCCTGCTGTTTTTCTCTACCACATATGTCCAAAGATGTGATAGACTCTTAGTCACCAATACTGCAGATTATAAAGAATACGAATTATATGGGCTGGGGGCCAGCAGGTGGCATAGTGGCTAAGGGCACTGGACTTTCACATGGCTGATTGTGGTTTGGGTCCCAGACCTGGCAGCTTGCTTTTTCACTCACTCTCTCTGATGAGTACACATGCTCTATAGCAAATTAAGAAATAATAAATAAAAATAATTTTTAAAAAATATGGGCCAAAATTGGTAGTATTTTGGCTTCAGAGAGCATCTCTGCATATGTAGAAAACTTAAAGTGCAAAACCAACACTAAGAGGTATGTGGTTATTCCAGTAAAGATAATAGTGTAATGATTGATCAAGCATTTAAAACCATTTTGTATCCTGTTTATTAATGTAAATTGTATACTTTTTTCTAATTGATGCTTCCAGCCAAAAGTACCTTCTAGTTTCATGACATCATCTTAAGAAGATAGGTAAAGTGAAAAGGAATATCTTCCCAAAAGTGAAAATAAAGGGATCAGCAGTTACCGTAATGGCTATGTCGCTGGACTCCCATGTAGTCAACCGCGGTTCGCGTCCCGGACCCAGTGGCTTAAAACTCACACCAGGTGCATGTACATCCATGCCCAAGATCCCGAGAGGAGAATGGAGGAGAAGGGATTGCAGCGTGACCATCTGCCCTGGGGGATGATTTCTTGCTTTCTGTCTCTCTGTCTCTGGCGAGCGCACGCACCCTATAGCAAAAACCTCTTAAAAGAAAAAGTGAAAATAAAATGCCTCTTCTGTGTAAAGGTAACTTTTCCATTTGGAGAAGGGTTATAATGTTTTGACATTACTGATTGCCTTCCTGAGAAGAGAATGGAAAAGTGTAAAACATCTAAATGAAATTAACATCTCACAGGGGGAAATCCCTTTAAGAAGTACATGATGAAAACAAAGTACAGCAACTCTTATCTATGGTCTCACTTTCTGAGGTTTTAGATATCCAAAGTCAAGTGTATGGTCTGAAAATGTTAGATGGGAAATTCCAGAAATAACCCATAAGTTTTCAATTACATGCCGTTCTCAGTAGCATGACGAAGTCTTGTGCCGTTCTGTTCTATCTCACCCTGGCTATTGACTCAGCCATTTGTCTGGCATAGCCTCTGTTTATGCCACCAATCTTGTCACGTAGTAGCTGTCTTGGTGAGGTTAACTGCCTGGCCTTTCTGTGCCTGTGTTCAAGTATCATTCTTTGTTTTATGTTTTTTGGTTTTGTTTTTTTTTTTTTTGAGAGAACTATTTAATTTTATTTATTCATTCATTTTAATTTGACCAGAAAGAGGGGGAAAGTGAGAAAGCAAGCCACCAGGTCCAGGACTTGAACTGTGGTCAGCCATGTGAGAGTGTCCATGCCACCTGCTCATTCCCAGTATAATTCTTATTTTACTTAAAGAATGATAATGCTGGAATATTGCCATTTATTGCTGTTTAATTATTACTGTTATCAGTATCTTCCCAAAGCTCATTTAAAAGTTAAACATTT